CTGGAAAACAGACTCATCTAAATGACAGAAGGATGCAACTAAGGAAGAAAAGAAAATATGACCTAGTGGGCCTGTGAATTTCAATTTCCTTCCCTGTAAAATGAGAACTAGTGATCCGAAGAGAGCTGCAAAGTCTTAGTGCTTCCTAGTGAGTCCTCAATACAGACTTACATCATTGAGAAGTATGACTCTTTTCTTGGGATTATACCATGTATATTCTAGGGCAGTGGGCTATTATAAAACTTGTTCATGGTAGATGGAATTGAAACACACAGACAAGAAAAAGTCTACCCTCATTCTCATCGCATCTTTGAATCATATAAATGCTCCAAGTCCCTGATGTCTGTCTTCCCATCTGTGTATAAGATTAGAGTTGAGGGGAAAAAAACTTAAAGTGACTTCCTCAATTCTTCCACAACAAGAGAGCCTGGCACCAGGGTAGGGAAGTGACCATCCAAGAAACCATCATTAGTGAGTGACAAGGGACTTGGGGCTTGATCCAATACATCTAGTTACTGTCCATTTTTAACACAAACTAACTAGAGCAGGGCCTTACATTCTTATACACTCAAGCACACCTCAACAACAGAAAGAAATTCCATAAGGAAAATGGAGTCCCCTTGAAATGAGCCCCCCGAAGCATTCATTCCTGAGAGTTTGAGGTCTTCAGAATATCATTAATGTCAAAAGTAATTTTTTACCAGAGGTATGACTTCAAAATTTGCTGAGACACTGATTGGTAAGAGATCAACTTTAGAGCCACTGACAGTGCCTGCTGATAGAAGAAAAAGATACCCCCAACCTAAAACCCAATAAAACCAAAGTACCCAATGCAGAGCAGAGGATGGGGTAGAGAAACATAAAAGTTTCTATGAGAGGCAAAGGGCTTCTGAGTCCCCACATTTCTAAGTCTCAATAGAACGCACAGCTCTCTATCTACCCTTGGCTGTAGGAGAGGCACAGCCACTCTCCAGCCCTTTCTATGTGCCAGTGTAAGGGGCCTCCCTCTTCCATAGTCAACCTCTCTTTTAATAATTTCCTTCTTCTTTGCCATAAAGAGAACAAGCAGCTTTGCTAAAGAACTGCTGTGAAATGATTGAAGTTCCCATGCAAACAAACCATTAGCAGAGTTCAAATGCAATTTAAATTACCAGTTGTTAAAGTGCTCCTCAATTTCGCAGTAAGTTTCCAAGGAGAATTATATGCTATATACTATTTAATTGGTTGTTTTCTATTTTTTAACATCCTTTTATTCCCTCCACCCTTATATTTCAGAAGTGTCTATAAGAGCTTCCCTTTAAAAAATTATACATTGTTGAAGAGATTAAATGCAAAGATTGAAAAGTATCAGAGAAACAGCAGCAGGAATATGCAGCTCAGCAGAAACTGATGGCTTGGAGACTTCAAAAAAATGCAGAATTTTAAAACCTTAGAAATCACCAACAGTGCCCACAGATGAATACACTAAGGCCTTGGGAATGAAAGGAGGTGCTGGTCTGAAATCCTCTCCCTGGAGAGTGATAAACTCAAGGGAGAACTCACAGCTCCCAATTTCCAGCCATCTTTTTCACATGGGGTCCATAAGTTCCCAAAGATGGTAAGAAATACTAGTGAATTTGATTTGCCACCTTAAGTGTTTTAAAAGAAAATATGGAACCCTCTTCACATAGTCTCCTGGCTTCAAAGTGGAAATGGCAAATGTCTCCCCCAAAAGGGAGGAAGAGAATTAAATAGTAAAGAATGGCACAAAGAAGCAGGGAGAAAGAACATTCCTGGTGGCAGCAAAAGCCAAGGATGCCTCACAGTTGAAGGGGCTTCAAGACTGCAGACTGCCATGGCTTTATCTGGCCCTAAAGCAGCTACTTCGCAGTGAAAGAACACAGAGTAAATAAACACAGCCAGGCAGGCCACATGGCACGTGTGTAAATAGAAAGGTTTCTAAAAGCCATCAGGAGCACAGTTCCAAATCCTGGCCTTGTCAAGTTTCCTGTCAGCAAAACAGGGCCCATGCCACCTGCCCTTTGGGATGCGGAAGACCATTTCCTGGGGTTCTGCATCCAGCGTATACACTACAGAGACCACATACTGTGCATTAAGGCCTGTTCACCTCTTTCCAATGTTTCTATAATATCTCAACGACTATGGATCTACAGATACAAATTATTTAGACTAAAAACTTAATATAAATCATTTGTGTTCTCTAAGATGTGAGGTTCCCTCAAAGTAAATTCACTTATGTTATCAATTTCAAAAATAAAATACTCATGAACATTCTACATGCTACTTTAAAAAATATTTCCAAACATAATTTGTTGTTGTTGTTGCTGCTGTTGTTTTTGTTTCCTGAGACAGGGTTTCTCCATGTAGCTTTGGAGCCTGTCCTGAAAAATCACTCTGTAGACCATGCTGGCCTTGAACTCACAGAGATCTGCCTGCCTCTGCCTCCTGAGTACTGTATTTAAAGTCATGTGCCACTACTGACTGGCTCAAACCTAATTTTTAAGCATACATTAATGAGCTTGACATCCAATCGTATTTAAACTCAATCAACACTGAGAAAGAGTTCCTACTTATATACACAGAGGAACCTAAAGATTGGAATATACATCAACGGTTTGGGGGTCAACAGCATGAGTCTTAAACCAAAGTCTTCAAAGACCAAGCTCTATGACAAAAGTTTTATTAATTATAGTCACAAATAAAATACAGACATTTATTCTTCTCAGGGCAGAAATATATCTTTTAAAAAAAACTGCCATTTTCACACTTCAAATTGCATTGGTATAAAAATAATGGTTGCATTAAAAAAAATGTTCATGTAAGAAACCTGAAAATCTGTTGTCTATTCTACTTTGTTGTAAGTTCTTAAGGAAAAGCTCAGAGGCTTGCCATTAATCAAATAGCTATAGGTGTCCAGGAAAGGCCTGAGAAAGAATAGTCAGAAAATACCATCTGATCATTTTGAAAAGAGATTTCAAATGGCTGTGTCTTGATCAAACAAATCCTGAGTACTCCTGGTATTGACTTCTGAGGGCCCCCAGGGATGGCTGTTAGCTGACATGATGCCATATTCCCCACAGTCAGCATACGGAAAACAGATGCTCACCTGTAGCCAGCTTTGATAAAGCAGTGTAGACCTAGCAGTCATAGATAACAAACTGTGTCTAGATTCTCCAAAGAATTCACAGTCTCCCTGTGGGAATGCTGGGTCCTGGAACGCACAAGACTGGGTGAGAAGACTGCAAAACCAAGTCCCTGCCACGTTCTGCAAAGGGTCTGGAAAGTCTCTGCAGAGGCTGAGGAGGCTGTGATGTCTCAAGGAAACCTGGAAACCAAGAGGACTTCTGCACACAAGGAAGAGAGTGGGCACAGAGAACCAATGTGCACAGACCTTGACAAGCCCAAGGTACTCTCACAGACCCTAGTAAGGTCAGCAGCACAGAGCTAAAGGGACATGATGGACATGAAACTGGAGAAGGACTTACAGCCAGAACATGGATGACTTGAATCTTGGCCTAAAGTAATTACATTGAAAGACTCGTGGTGGGTACTGCATTTGAGGGAATGATAGGAGAAAAAGCTAAACAGCTGAACCATCATTTTAATAAAGGATTCCCTTCCTTAGTCAGCCTTCAATAACAGCAGGATACAAGCATGTAAGGGATTTTCACAGAGAATGGCTTCTAAGTGGACTCTAATCCACAGCACCATTCTCCCTCCCTCCCTTCTAACTCTGCAACTCTTACAGGAAAGAAACTAACTAGGTCATGCCCCAAGCAAGACCCTCAGTCTGCCACAAGGGACAGCCAGCACTGAGCTCCCACAGGCCTTGAGCTCTACACTGTGGTGATATCTTTCTTGCACAAATAAAGCCTGCCTGGGGGTGAGAGAATGGAGTTTGCCACTAGCTAACCATAGAAGTCTGGAGGTCTGTACAGACAGACAGGAAGTGATGTAGGATATAAGCAGGGAGAAACAGGAAATCGCTCTCTTCTCTGCTGAAACACTTAAGGTAAGGTGTGCTCCTTCTCTCAGATCCCTCAGCATTTCCCTCTATATCTGACTCCATCCTTTTATTGTCTAGATCAATTAAGAACTTCTTTTACCTTAGACTCGTCACTATCTCTTAGGAAGCAGGATTTCATCAGAACCATCCCTCTGTGTGTGCTGAGGACCCCACAATAGAAAGCTCCTCCCTGGCCAGCCCAGCACAACAAGGTGGAATCTTCAGTTAACAATGCCCTAGTCAGATGAGCTCAATCAGGATGTATGGAATTACTCTTTTCTTTAAAGGCTCCCCGGCAGCCATTCCATATGTCCACAGACCCAGGAAGATGACATACTCTCTGGCCTTACAAAACTCCATATAAAAGAAGGGGTGTGACAAACGAAGTAAAGGGAGAGGAAGTAAAGTGAGGAAGAAGCACAAACCGAGGGACAAGTCACCGAACACACTATGACATGGGATGATCATTCACTTACACCTTCTAATGAAAAAGCAATTGAGTCATGTGTTTCCCACACTTTCCAGCTCACAGAGAGGAAGTACCCCAGCCAGGAGCCAGGCGTGGATCTCGTGCTTCTAAGTGTGAACAGGTACACTCACACTTACACTCACAGTGGCAGCTCCCTGGTGCAGTTTTACACAACAGCATCTTTTCTAGGACAAAGGAGCTGGTGCTGGGTAGCAGATGGTGACTGAGACTAACTCCTCTATAGGACAACAGGAGTTCTACAGATAGACGGAAGTGAGGCCATCCCACTTCTAAAGGAACAGCGAGAGCATAACACGGAGGTAGGCAAATGCAGGATAGGAGGGGAGAGGCAGAGAATGGGCTGAGAGGGCAGGGGTATCGCTGGAGTCTGGTGGACACATACCTGATTCTGACTAGGAGAAGTGCCCAATACTAGGGACAAGTGTTTTGCTTCAAACTGTGACTACTAGAAAAACCACCCATTTCAAAGAGATCTGTGGCACAGTTTCAGCTTTCCTTGGGATTTCATGTTACAAAGCTGGGGACAGCCAAATAGTCTTTCAGGATCTGGGCCAGGAAACCAAATGGGCCTTTGGGTTTCTTTGGGCCAACGTAGAAAAGGATGCTGTATGCAGCTTTGACATTAGGGGCAGGAACATCCTGACCTTGAGAAAAGGCACTAGCTGGAGCGTAAATGCCCAGGCTTTCTGAACACAGCATGGGGAGTGGAGTGGGAATTAGAATTTTAAAAATATATACTCTACTCCTTGGTTTCCCCAGTTTTTAACTGCAATCTTTTGCAAGTCACTTTCTTTTAACATGGCACAGTTAGATTAAAATGATACTCCGAGAGCCACGTTACAGTGAGAGCAACTAGTCTGTAAGGCTGAGGTGAGGACGTGTGTTTCTACATGTAAGCTGGCATGTTTAGCACACCCCCTCCCCCCAGAAGGCTCCATGTTGATAGTTAGCATGAAAACTACCCTGTCCTCCTGGAGAAGTGGTCTAAATCTGGAGTTGTCAACAGTTTTTTTCTCCTGCTGAAAATTGAGCTGTATTCCCCAGGCAAAGCCATTACATCTTTTTGTGCCAAATTGTTTTCATCTTTTAAATGACCCAGTAATCCCACTTTGGGCAATATACATCAGGGAATAATCCAGAAGGAAAAAAGACGCAATTTGTTCAGAGATGTTATTCATAGTGCTATTCCTAGTTCTTTATATATCCCTCTATTATAGCACTGATCTCACTGTGCTGTAATTATCCACTCCCTTTCCATACGCCTCCAAATTATCTTTGAATCAATCCCCAGCACCTAGCACAATGCCTGGCATACAGTAAGAACTCAATAAATGTTTGTTGACTGAATGGGTAATATGAAAGAAATTTTGAAAGAAACGAGCGAGTGCAAACAAAGAAAGCACTGGTTTTATGTAAGAGATGGTGTTAAACTGGTTCCTTTTTTTTTTTTTTTTTTTTTTTTTCTTCTTCTTCTTCTTCTTCTTCTTTTAAGAAAACTTGGTAACTTGAGACTAAACTACTGGAAGAGGGCCATGTCAACAAGCCTCAGGGATAACTACCCACTGTCTTAGTTTGGGATTTTTGTTCAATGTCCAGACATAGACAATTGTAGTACAACTGGCCAAGGAATACCCAGAGGCATGGGACCCACTCAAGGTCATTTAGCTTGGTGACTTCTCAACCTCATTCTGACACTATTGTTGTTGGCCTTTGACTAAACTGCCTAACCACTGGAGACTTTTTCTCTACAAGCTAAAAAAAAAACAGGGGTATCTTCTGGAAAGCCCTTCACTTAAAGGAAGCAGGGGAGAACCGGGTAATAGTAAGCTAAACACAAGTGAAGAAAGACAGGAAGATGGGCCTCCTTGTCGAAGACTCGAGCCACCAGGGGTTTTGAAGCAGCAGCTTCTCTAGGATCTTTGCTGGCCCATCTTACATGGGTGGGTTGTGAAAGGTCCAGAACAAGAGACAGAATCTCTTCATAAATAGGAAACACACTGAAAATGGATTGGAAACATAGCTCAATGGTAGGACATAATCTTAGCATGTGCACAAACAAAAAGATAACATGTTAAATATCATCACTCAGAAAGCTTCACATTCTTGGTAGGAAATAAAAAAACCTCCAGAGAGAGCAAAGGCAGCTTCACATTCTGAAGGTCTTGTATTGAGGCGTTCTAACCCTCTGAGCCAGAAGTCAGAAGCCAGAAGTTGCTGCACCCTCAACTGCTTGGCTAGAAGCTGGAGATTCCAATTAAAAGTGCATAGTCTGGGATCTGGAATTCTGGTAGCTGCTCCACAGAATAACATTGCTGTGTCTTTACAAAGCTCTGGTTCCACTCAGCCTGACATTTCTCTAAAGGAAATCACACTCTGACATCCTATTGAAAGCACATGAACAAATCCTGAACTTTCCCCTCCTCCACCCCACCACTATAATAGCACTGCTCCAAGGCAGCACCCACCCACACACACACACACACACACCCCTAGAATGTGCCAGAAGTCTCTACGTTTTGTGCTTCTACTATTGCCCTCACCTTTCAAAGGGCCCCTCACACAGCTGCCAGGAAGACATTTGTAAAATGTAACCCAGGCGGCTACAAGCTTGAACTTGAGACTTGGAAGCAAACTCAGGCACCATGGTTTATTCGCACCCATCAATCTCCACCCCTACCACAGCTCCACTGCTTTTGCAGCCCGTCACTATCTGGTGGCACAGAGTGCCCCTGTGTTCAAGAGACATGAGCTCCGTCCACTCAGTACCAGCTGCCCACTGCCTACACTTGCACGCACAGCCCTTTCCTCTGTCCCCTTACATGGCTGGCCCTAGTCACTTTGATTCAGTCAGAAGGGACCCTGCACCCTGGGTGATTCTAACTCTGGATTATTGATCACTCCCCCTAATTCCCATGTTTATTTCTTATCTCCTCCCCAGCATACCTTTGCTGTTTGGCACATTTAATTATGCAGTCTATACCCTGGCCTGGGATACTGGCCACAACAGAACAGTGCATAGTAGTAGAGACTGGATGATCAATAAAGTTAGGAGACCAAAGAGATGACTCAGTCAGTAAAGTACTGAGTCCAAGCCCTAGAACCCAGGTTTAAAAAAGGCAAGCATGGTGTCACACATTTGCAATCCAAATACTTGAGAGGTAGACAGGCAGGTCCCTGGCAACTGCTGACCAGCCAACCTTGCTTATTTCTGTGAGTACTAGGCAAATAAGAGGTTCTGTTTTTTAAATTAAAAAGAAAAAGAAAAGAAAAAGAGACAGTACCTATGACACACACACACACACACACACACACACACACACACACGAGTTATTAAGATTAGACAGATGCATGACACAGAAGAAGCCTGTCTGATCAGTCCATGGAAAATGAGCTAAGCCTTGGGCTAACCCCTGTCCCTTGAAGTCAAACAGACCCAAAGTTCTAAGCCAGATCACTAAGTCTATACACAAGGGCTAATAAGGGACCTAGGAAGCTTCTCGTGATTCCTTGGGCCTTGCTTTTCTTGCAGGAAAATCAGAAGGAGAACATGGACCTAAGAACATGGGGAAATTACAGATCAGCCACAGACTGGTCTGTCATCAGTAACATACTTTCAGAGCAAGACTCGGAGAACAGCAATGTGCTCCCCAAGCAAAACACAGATGAGCAGGGGTCAGTCAAATGCTCCCTCGTGTACCCTCTTCCTCCTCCTGCAAGCTGAGCAGAGCCATTCATTACAATGGCCTCTTCTGCCTTACTTGAAGGACAGCACAAAGTGTATAGTTGGAGGAAGTGACTGAGAGAAGTCCAGGTTCTTCTAACCCTATCAGCCATCTCTTAACTCAGGGCAAGCACACTCTCAAGGCCTCATGTATCACAGAATGCTTTGACATAGGACAGATGGACTCCCTAACAGCTGGCTCTCGAAACATGGACAACCAAACCCATCATATCTACGTAAGGTCCTACATGCAAAGTATTTATTCCAGACTCTGTGTGTCACACTTCAAGTCCAACCACAGCTCTGCTCTGCACGGTAAGATTGCCCCTCCCCAAGTTCCCACACACATCCCTTTTGGCTTGTGCTTTCCCCCTGGTGATCAGACAACACCCCCAAATTATCTTTCTACCCAACTGAAGCTGGGCATCAGATGGAAGCGAATATCTGTACAGTTTGTCTTCTGGTTGGTTGGTTTTAGGTACAAATTAGAAGTTTTCCTCTGGCTGACTCCATTTCTAAATCTATCCATGAGAATTACCCCCCTGGGAAAGCAGCTGTCCCCACTCCAAACATTCCTCACAGAATTTCCCACCACCATCCCCATGCAAGCAAGCATCCCAGGTCTGCTGGCAGAAATGCCATTGGCAATAATGATGTACTCACGCGAGGAGGTCACCACCGCAGACAGCTAGACAGCACAATGGGACCTTCGCTGCCCCTACTCCCTCTCACAAAGCCAGGTCCAGGACAGAACACACAGCAGGGATGTGGTCCAGAAGCCTGAGGAGAACTGAACTGAGGCACTCTCTCCTCAGCCTCCAGAACAGGGGGCAGAGGCATGGAGGGGGAAGGGCAGAGGGGGTGTTTCACTTGGTTTCTGGAAACAAGAATTCAAATCCTGCTTCTCCTAACCCTGAGTCTCCTCCTTCCCTTCCAACAGATGAGTGTGGTGGGTAAACATTTCCATATATGGAGAAGAAGGCTGGAGGATGTCAGAAAAATCACCCTTCTCTCCAGCACTTCAAGAACATGCCCCACACAAGGCAGCTCTTCATGCCCTGAGTAAATCATTAACCCCATGGATATGGACTCTCAGCTACTACTACCACACACTCCAGACAGACATGGAGTGTCTGCTGCTGCTGCTGCTGTAACTACTACTACTACTACTACTACTACTCAGACACACCACACACACCACCCAGTTCCAGGAAAACAGCCTCCCAACCCAGCAAAGGAAATGGCTGGTTTGAAAGTTTAAAGTCTACCTCAGGAATTGGGCTGTCCAAAATGCCACAAGAGCCTGCCTACAGAAAGGGAGAAAAACCTTCCATAGCTATTCATCTGAGAGAAGATCAATGTCTAGAATAAGTGAAGAACTCAACAAAGTAAGAAATACAAAATTTAAAAACCAAATAACGAATAGGCTGAAGAAACAGCTTTTATAAGATGAAATACAATGGCCAATAAGCATAAGATGTTCAACACTAGCCATCAGAGGGACGCAAATGAAAACTACATTGAGATTCCATCTCACTCGTTAGTATGTCCCTCTATCAATGATCGCTACACGTATGGCAACAAAAAAAGAACATGTAAACACTTTGATGGAATGAAAAACTGGTCCAGCCATTGTGAAAATCAGGATAGAGGTCCCTCAGAAAGCTAAACTTACAACTACCGTATGATCCAACTCTCCTCCTCCTGGGTACTCACCAAAACAAGGCTTCCAGACAACAAGTTAGAGAACTGCTCCAACATCCATGTGGATTACAGCAATATTCACAACAACAAGAAACGGAACACACAGGCATGGATAAAGAAAATGTGGCATATATGCATGACAGGGCTTTTTTGGCATTCATAAAAAGGAATAAAGTTATACAGTCTTCAGGACAGATGCAACTGGCGGTAGTCACAGAAAGAGAATTATGCCAGTCTCAGGGACATGTAGGGTGTTTTTTCTCATTTGTCCCTAGACTTCACAGAGACACAAAATCATGTAAGTATATGAGACATGACAGCAGAAGAGAAAGCCTGTCTAGGGGGACAGCATATAATCCAGGCAGCAATGGGGAGGAAGGAAAGGCTGGAGTGGGAAGAGAATGTACAGCATAATTGTCTCGAAGTGTCCAAACACAACCCAGCACTGTGTGCAATGATTATAGAACAGGAACACTTTTCAGTTAAACTGAGTTTAAAAAAAAATAAAAACTATACCTTTAGACACAATCATTTTTTAAGGTCACAATATATGGCATTTTCGGCAGCCAACGTTACACAGACACTGACACAAGTCTCCTGAGATCTTCGGGCTAGGGAGCTTCCAAGGCACTTGGTTTAGTATGAGTTCTTATCATGAGACAGACATCAGGATCCCTGTAAACAGTCAGGCTGGTCTATTGTCAGAACATGAGTGCTAGGGGAGGGGAAGGCAAATCAGATAGTAAAATCTGTAATATTAATTCTAACCCCAAGCCTCTGTGAAATCTTTGATGACTAAGTTGGAGCCGTAAAGCTAATCAAGAGTGAATCTGGTCTAAGTGATTCAAGGCTAAATCAAGGGAGAAAGAATGAAAGGCAGACATGAGATTGGTGCAGGTGGGTGCTGTTCTACAGCCGGTCACGATTGTACAAAGCTATGCACGTCAGTTCGGCTCTGGTGGCTCATATTTCCTTATCCAAAAATTGAACAGCTAGCCCCAAATTATCCGGCTCTGTACAGAGGAGCAGTTTCTAGTTCTTCAGCCCAAACATTCCCTCCACACCTACTTTGATACCTTGATATTTTAATAAGCATGTGAACACAAACATAAGTGACCCTGAAAGTAGGTAGGACAACTGGACCAAAGCACTGGCCACATAACACCAAAACCAGAACTCAGTACTCAGTACCCACACTGCAGGACTCCCAGGGTCTAGCAAAGGGACAGAGAGGAAAGGGGTGGCCCAACTGTGTCCAGGGCCCAGTTGCTGTTGGTGTATGGGTGGAAGCATTTGAGCAGAGAAATAAGATGCTCCACTGTAAATACTACCAAAGGAAGTGCTTCAAACTTCCATAAACAAGTTCCAAGCAGTAAGGCATCTAGATGAACATGAAAATCAGAACAAAAAAAACCCACATTCATCCTCTACTTTGGTAACTTTTAGAGGTTCATCTCCTTATCGATCAAGAGACATTTCATTTTCTTCATGTATGTTCTTTCTTCCTCCCGACCATCAAGCACCTCTGACCCAATATGCCTGACTGCTCATTAATCTCCCTGAGCATCCCCACTGTCTCCCATGAGACAGAGATCATATTTCCTACAGCTGTTGATTCCATCTTCACACAAGAAAGTTCTTCCTTATATGGAACCAAAGTCTGACTCCCTGGCCTTCAACCTCCTGCCCTGATCTGCTTCTTAGGACCATATGTCAATGCTTATCTCACCGGTGTGGAATTTTTGTAGGTAACTGTGTATACAGTAACAAAGCTATCCAAACCTCAGTTCACAGTCAACCCTGCCCTTCTCATGACCACATCATATTGGTGACTATTCACGCAACTGTACCAAAATTAAATCCATTCTCTGGAGTGTTTTCCAATGTGTTAATGCTAAGTAACACATTCGAAACTGTACACTGCAATCCTGTGAACTTGCAAGTACCCTACAAAATTCAGTCTCTCCTGTCCTTCCCCTACCACTGTGTGTGTGTGTGTGTGTGTGTGTGTGTGTGTGTGTGTGTGTGTGTGTGTGTGTAAGGGAGGGAGACAGAAAAGCTAGGCAAGTGCTCTACCACTGAATTGAAAATCCAGTCTTCTTTCCACTCTTTACTTTTTATTTTGAAACAGAGCATCACTAATTGGTTCAGGATGATCTTGTGGTTACTTCTATCCCCAGGTAGACCTTAAAAGAGAAATCCACCTGCTGTAGCCTCTGTAGTACCCTGGCTTACATGCCTGCAGTACCAAGTACAGCGAATGTACTTCTTTATTTCATTGTGAAACTTAAAACTACCTTCAAGACTAGCTCTCCATCATCTCTATTCCACCAGCCTTGCCACACCCAGCCTTGACTGATGAAGTCTAAAATGCAGTCCCTATTCTTCAGAATTAGAAACTAGTCCTGCCAGACCCCAAAAATGCACCCTATAAGGCTCTTCCAACGAACATTACAGTTGCTTTCTGTAGGCAAGGAGGGTCAGCACACTTCTCATAACAACACAGGGCAGCAAAGTCAACTTGCTCATCCCAAGGTTTGAGTACCTCAGAGATGTTCAGTGGGGTGGGAGGACCAAGTGTTCTCTTCATCTACAGTTCAGCTATACTACTTGAAGTCAAGGTTCATGTAGTCAAAACAGTGGTGCTTCAGATCACTAGTGTGCTTCACCATAAGCAAATGCCTCCCCAGGCAGCCTCACTGACTCTCACAACTGCCTTTGAGGCCACAATACCCAATGTGCCAAAAGGAAGACAGAAGCTCAGAGCCATCACTTGTACTCCCCAGGCCACAGCAACAGGAAGCAGTCAGGCAAAGGAAGCTGCAGACTTGAGACTCTAGGCCTGACGCTGTCCTATACTCACTGTGTGACCATGGCTTACCATTTAACTCTTCTAAGCCTGGGTTCCTACACCTGAAAATCGGAGATTAAAGCAGTAATTCTGCCTCCCTCTTGGAGCAGTTATAAGGATCAAATGAGATAATGAGAGTGAAAGCCCTCTGGAAAAGAGGAAGGCATTCTCCAAGTGTGAGGGATTACTGTGTGATTACTTGCAAATGACTGTGCATTCCATTACAAATAGAAAAGGCAGTGAGGTCATTCACAAGACAAAGGAACACTAGGCTCTGGGAGTCAAGGGAGAATGATTCCATGTAGTACAAGTTATGGCTCTATCTGCTCACACTTGGAGCTCAAAGCTCAGCAGCAGCTGTCAGGGTCTCAAATTCCAAGTCACACGTCTACAAGGCAACTCAAGACAAAACCTCCCTTTTCAGCTAAAAGCAAAAGCCAGGCAAGAAGGAGGTAATAGAGATGGACGTCTAGAAGACCCCTGAGAGTCTCAGTCCCGGAAATGTGTCCTTTGATGTTTTCCTTGGAGTAGTTGTTAGAAACACAGGCTCCAGTCTCACTGTGGTAAGCCCATGGGGAAATAAATATACAGTAAGGAGCTATTTACCAAGGAGCACTGAGGAAGCATCCAAGCATGAATTAATCAAGGGCACAAGACAATTCAAGTTGCAGACACCAAAAGGGTAAGGATCTCCAATCAGTTAACCCTTCCAGCTCATAGAAGCTCCACCTGGAGCCTGACACCAGCTCCCACAAACCTGCCTCTACCCTGTCCCCATCCCTGAGGCTGCACCCAACCAGCAGCAGGGTCAGCCCATACATCCATCCTTTACATACCAGCCTTCCTGCTGGAGACCACCCTGAAGAGGGGTCTCAAGCAGCTCAGAGAGCCAAGTCTCCTGTCTGGCTTTTCTGGCCTCTTCCAACACCCTAGTTGTCCTATTCTCTTCGTTCCTACAAAGAATCAAATACTCACTGTCATTTCTGGAGGGACCACATATTGCCCAGAAATTCACCCTGAGACTGGTGAGAAAACAGTTCAATGCTCTCTCCCCCTGTGAGAAAGAAGATACTCTGGAGGGCAGGCTATGGTTCCTTGATTCCCTCCCAGTGGCTAGGTCATACTTAGGGCTAGGTAATAAAACAATCATGAGATAGTATATAAAAAGAAAGATTCCAACTAGAATCTGTCTATCAGATGGATACGCAGGTCACTGGTGAGGGTTGTCCAGACAGATGGATATGAACAGAGGCAACACAGAGTGTGGAATAAAACCAACTGTTTTGAGATAAAAGAAAGGGGTTTTGCTTTGTTTGTTTTTGTTATAGAGTAAAGCTCTGATCATACCACTGGAAAGATTTTAAAAAATAATCTCTTTTGCTACCCACTGAGAAGTACTAACAGCAATGACTATGATGTGATATTTACTCTCTGTTAGCAATTATACTGCAGTTTTACGTATACATAGATTTGTGTTTGGTGCATTATTTAATAGCAGTAATAACAGTACAAGCTAGGCACTCTCTTCCCATATTATAGAGGAAATAAATATTAAAGATAACGTGTAAACCACAGATATGGTAAATGCAAGAGGCCAATACTAACATGTTCACAGTACAAACTGGACCCCTTGCAATTCCATAAGTGTCTTATGTCCCTCTTCTCTGTCATTGCCCACCTCTAACCACATCATTTCTGTGAGATAAAATACGCTCCCTATAATTAAATGAATAATAATCATATGTAACATATGCCTCCAAGAGTAGTTGACAATAACAGTGGCACTCAATGTGTGTGTTCAGACAGGCACTGCCCTTACAAGGTTGGGTCGGGAAAGTAATACAATATAGGCCATAATCTTTCACTTTTTCCTAGACAGAAACCAAACCAGTTCAAAGCCAAGACTGCCAGGGTCACAAGAGAACACCTAGCCTGGGTGAGGGACACAGTTCAAGGGCACTGTGCACCAGGCAGCCTGAGGGCTCTGCAGCTGTTTAGGGTCAAATGACCCTGAACCTCCAGCTGTTGTTCCCAAGGCCACAGAGGGAGCTCGGCAGATCAAATACTTCCTTGAAAAAGGAAAACAGTCACATCCCACCAAGATGGGAATGTGAGTTCAAAGAGCAGCTTTCAACTAGGTGTCAGGGTGTCTCCGCCCTGGGACCAGCACAGCTAGGAGAAATTTTGCCTTCATAAAGAGTTGTTCAGCTACCAAGGTGATTTTCAACCTTCCACCTCTCAGCACCATTCTTCCTTTAAGTGAATGCTATGAAATGTTCCATTTTTAAAGTAACAGAAATCAGAGCTGCCAGCAGGCTTCAAGAACCTCCCTCCATTTCTCACTTTGTGGGCACCCAACTCTGAGACCACACAGGAGCCTACACAGCTAGGCTGTGACTCTCCTGGATTCTTCCCTCACAATAAATCTCTTGAATGAGGTTTGGGTGAAACCTTCTTTACCTTCTTTCACCAGAGCAGAGATGCAGAAATGACCCTGAAGCAGAGATGACCCTGAGCAGAGAAGGGCTGCAACACTTTTCACCAGGGAAACCTTCCCTTGGCAAAGCAATCAAAGCAGTTGTTACCCTCCACTCTCCGGGGACTGGGGGACTCGAGTCGAAATCTTTAAGAACTTTAACAACTTTGGAGGGAAACCCTCTCCTGATGGAGCAGAGCTAATACAATGGGGAAGCCTTTCCCTGAAACAGGGCTATGGTGTGGTACTCCTTGGCTCCCGAATGCCAGAATCCCTGTCCATCCCATCCAAGCGGTCAAAATGCTTACAGTTTTACCTGTATAAGAGGCATATATAGTGTGGATGTGGCACGGTACAGGAAAAAGAACTCCCAAACAGAAAACCTGAGGAAGAATCCTATGTTCAGTGGCCATAGAGGCACACACCTTTAGTTCCTGGAAGTGAATCTCAGAGTCCAGGCTACAGAGTGAGTTCCATCCAAGACAGCCAGAGCTACACAGAGAAACCTTCTCTCAAAAATATACTGCCCTCCAAAAAATAACCCTATGTTCTCCAAGCAGTTAGAAGTTGCCTGTGATTCTTTGTCTAGGGATGGGACCCTGTGAAATACTTAAATGGACATTAGCAGTCCATTAATATTGTTAACCCTGAAACCAGATACACATCACCAACCAAAACAGACCTAGCAGAGAGAGAGAGTATGCACACATATGTGTGTAAGCATATGTAACAATACTAATCAAAGCAAAAGCGAGTGTCCACTTGGAGGGGGAATGAGGTATTGGAGAGGGTGCCAGGGAAGGACACTAAAGGAGCAAAGAGGGGGATGATGTATTCTACTTCAAATAAAAACACAGTTTTAAAGAATTCTTTCATTTCCCCAAACCTCAGTTTTCTCGCCTGTAAAAGAGGAAATATTCACCCCAAATGGCCTTTATGACAATGAATCTGCCTAATAAGTTAACAGAATGCCACAATATAGGCTGTAGTATGATTATCAATTAATTTTATCTTGGTCCATAAATGGAAAAGCAGATAACCACATGCCTTTGTATACTTGTGGACATATTCAACACAAACGCGCTGGCAGTAGTAAAGAATGAGTAAGAAAGAAGGATGTAAGAGCTGAAGGGTGTGGCCACTGGGAGATTTCCAATGCTCCAGTGTATGGCCCTACACCCATCTATAATGTGTCACTGATTGAATTTAGTGAATTTTCAGAGGGAGTGAGGTACGGGGGGGGGGGGATATAGGGAGTGACATGGGGGGGGGGGGGTAAATGGACTAGAATGTATACATTTCATTGTATACATGAATAAAATTCAGTTTGAGAAACACACTCTGAATCCCAAAATCTCTGAACAACTTATTTCCTAACATCTTTAAGTTTGTCTTCAGATCTTTGAAATTTGGGGTCTTAGCATCCTGACAACAACCAAAATGGTCAAGAATGCAGAAAGAAAAACCACTGTTTCAGACATGGGAACAAGGGAAAGAATTAGTCCTCAAATATGGACACCAGCATCATCCAGACGACAGCTCATTGGCCTGAGAAGTACCAGCTGTCCTGGTGCCTGGCGTGTACAGATGGGGTGAGAACAATCTACACACACACCATTGCCATGCGATACAGAACACAGGAGTCACAGGTATTTGATCTCCTCCCTGTACAAAGCACATGTGACCCCTTGGGAATGTTCTGTGACTGAAGTATATGAACAGGGGTATTTTCCCTAACCCACCCTTTCGATAAAGCTGTTCCCAATTACCAGTCCACAAACATCCAAATCATGACAGGAATATTTCTGTAATTCTTCGCAGTGACAGTTTTTTAACGTTTCTTGGCAGATAAAACCATGTTGCCCATCTCACATATCTTCTAGGAAGCATATGAGCCAGAAGTCACATGCCACTCTTGGGCTCTGCAGTGTGTGCACTGAACTCTCTTCCACAGCAAGGGTGCAATTCAAGTTCTGCACTAAGGGGGCAGTGGGGACTCAAGGCCAGTTCACCAAGGACCCTAGGCAAGTCACTTTCACTCTTTGAACCACAGTTTCTTTATTGATAAAATGAGATTTATCAAGTCACCCCACACATCCGCATGTCCTTTCCATTCCATGTCACCCTGAAAGCTGTCAGAAATGGAAGAAAACAGCATGGGGAACACCGTGCAGCTGCCATCGTCACACAGACCACTCCCCAAGAACAACTGCATAGTCACAGTGTATGCACTGTCAGAAGATTGCTGGTTTGAGTAGCAATTAACAATCAATTCAAGAAGCAAGAGCATTAACATGACGGGCACAGTAGGCACCTGGCATGCTTCATGGCCTAAAGTCTGGGCCCTAGATGGTCTACGACGAAGAGAAAAGAAACTACCCTTTCCTAGGGGCCTCTTGGAAGATCTGCTTCTCCAGTTAGCATAGACACCTACTGCTGCCACCCAGCCACCTCATTCTTGTTTAGCTACAGAGACGATATTGACATGGGGGCCAGTATTTCCCATTCTATAAAAACTAATGTTGACCCCCAACTACTAATGCTCTCCCCAAACTACAAGATCCTAGACCTGGTAAAAGCCAGATGTCATCTCAGCCAAATCCTGGAAACCATATGTCTGGGGCACTCACTGAGGGGGAAAAAAAAAAAAAAACTTGCTGATGTTTCCATGAAGCACATGGTAAGTGAGGGGCAAGTCTGTGCTCTCATGCACCCTGCTCTAATATCTTATGTGGTGTGGTTCCTAATGGCAACAGAGTCCCGGGGCTTTACTTAATAGCTCCAGTGTCTCTAGAACCCAATCTCAATCTTCTGTTGCCATGGCAAATATACCCTACCACCATCCAACACACATTCTTTTATTTTTTCTTCTAATACTTTTGGTTATTCAAGACAAGTTTTCTGTGTAACCCTGGTTGTCCTGGAACTCACTCTGTAGACCAGGCTGGCCTTGAACTCATGGAGGTCCACCTGCCCCTCCCTCTCAAGTACTGGGATTAAAGGCATGCACCACCACCATCCAGACAACATACATTATTTAGAGTGAAGTCCCTCAGATTGCCACAGCTTTCAACCCAAGATGCATACTCCACACATCCCTCAGAGAATACTAGTAATTCCCAGCAGGAGCTGGATTGCCTTGGGAGAAGATAAATTATTTATCCTTTCTGTGTTCTGTACTCAGGGACATCTAGTACCCTCTAAATACCAAGGGTGACCTGGCCTCTGGGGACTAAGACAACAGAACACCCATGTCTTTTCTGATTCCCTTAAAAAGATGGCACTGGTTCCAGTTCTGCATCACTGGTCTGTAAAAGCCCTCACAGCCAGCCCTGTTGTGATGCTCTGCCCTGGATTTGCTAGTCTAAGTAGAAAATCCACCACATTCTTTCTTCTACTGTTCTCACTATGCATTTGACTTACTCTTCCCAGTATGGGCTCCCAAAAGAAGAATTCAGGCTTGATCTCTCTCCACAC